TTGAGGTGTATGTTGTTCCTGTCTGTTCTAGCAACTGAATTTGCTCAAAAGTGTGATTTTGCCCACTGTGTTAAATGGCTTTAAAAGGATAGACAGTATTTGATTCCACTAACCAGGGCTCACCTCCACTAGACTAATACTTCACACTATTGCCAAATTCTCCAATATTACTGTGAATGAGTCATTTGGAGTCATTTTCAATATGTTATGCCTCAAATAGCAACTTGCATTTATATAGCGCCCCTCTCGCAGGGTAGTGACACTGGCGGAGCCTCTGACGCTGAGCCACAGGGAGGGGGAGATGACCGTAGGCACAGTCGAAGAGGAAAGTCTTCTGGCGCGACCTGAAGATGGGGAAGGAAGTGATAAGACGGAGTGATAGAGGAAGAGTGTTCCAGAGTTTCGGGGCATAGCAGCTTTCCTCTTTTCCCTGGGACTCTCATTATGCCCTAAAACTTTGAAGAGTAAACTGTGATGAGCAGTAAATGACTTGTACTGTCAGTGTTTTACTGCCCTGCAACATTCTCTATGTTATGTCTATTGTAATACATTATTATTTTCATATTGTACCTTATTATCCCAATCCTCCCAATTCATGACAGTAGTTCAAGCTGTTCCATCAAAAAGTGCCTACACTATTGCATACTAATTTCTTCATGCTTGTTATAGTTCTGGCTTCCTAGCCATTATTATAAAATCCACGGCTTTTATCGCACAGTGCCTCTGATTATAGTCCCTCAACCCGAACCATATTGTACCATTGGCTGTCATTCTACTGGATAGAGCTTCCATAGGTGATGCGATTGGTATGTTAATTAATTTAAAAATTTAATTGAATCTGTGAACAAGACCACGGATAGAATTAGCTGCCAAGAAATGATTCTGTTGGCTTGACCATGATGCGTGGGAGGACTGATGGGTATTGCACTATCCTTTCTGACAGAGATGTTCAGAACATTGAGACCAAATACAACGAGAAACTGTTTCTTCAGCTTTGCCAAATCCCACCCACAATCCTTTCCGGAGGCAAACACAGCTTTAATTGATTCATGATCAGAACATCTGGAAATAGGTTATTTTTCATATTGTTATTTCTCTGTATTTTACTTTTCTTGCCTCTTGTTCCTTTATTAGGCATACACTCGTGCAATGCTAGTTAATCTGCCATGTTTAGTGCAGCCCAGCTAGAAGGGGCTGATTGAAAATGATTCCATTACATTTTAAACTAGTGTCTGTGTGGAACAGAAAGTGGAGTTTGAAATGAGTTATGAATATCAAAAATTGAACCTAAGAGAAAGAGAACTGCTCCAAACATAGAGATGTCAATTTAAGGAATAGATTATCTCCCAGTACAGGGTATGTAGATTTGGTTGAAATGTACTGAGATTCCTGATTCACCAGATGATATAAACTGAGTATCACAGCAAGGGAGGGCCCAGACATTCTTGAATCACAATGTAACATTAATTTGATACTATGCTTTCTAAAGCATCTTATAATTTTGCCCGAAGGCATCCAAAACTGAACTGATGTTTGAATTTGACTGGGCGTTTCCAGACAATTTTGTTCAATTGAAGTCAATGAGGTGCATTTGTGCTGGTAAGTCTTGTTAAGTCTGTTTAATGAAGAAGCATTCTTTATGTTCAGAAACGACATTTCTGATGTGCAGTGATGCAGTCTGACCTGATTGTATTGTTACTTCAACACAGAAAGGTCGGCTGAATACAAACCAGCAATACAGCTTCAAAATTAAAGTACTGAAACTATTTCTCAGTGTTAATATAAACAAAAGAAAGCATTGGCTTCACTGGATATAGCAATGACCAGACCAAATATGCAGCAGCCCTCCAACCTGCCAAGGATATAGCTTTAGGGTCAAATCCTTTTGGCTGAATCCAGTCTTGTGATTTGTATGTGCTTAAACTAAACATAATAAAGAACTTTAATTCAAGGGCTCGTGTAGTAGGTCATTATTACTGAATTTATTTGAAATAGTTTGAGGTTTTCCAGATATCAACTACAACTCCTAGCATACTTTTCTTTAGGCTACCAGTGGTCTGTGTGAACATCATATTATTATTATCATGGATGCAGTGTGAGTTGCTTCAATGGAAATACTGTGTTGCTAATCGTCTTACTTCAAAGTATTTGCAAATGTAGGAAAGTTAATGTTGAAGTTTCGGTGTAAGGGCAGGTATTCATTGAGGTTCTGTTAAGATAACTCGTGCTAATTTATTCACAATAATTTAATTGGTCCCCACCATGACCATCTTTCCATCACAGCAATTCAGTGTCCAGTGTCCAGGCCTCAACCACCCTTTCTGGAAAACTGTTCCCCTCGTTGATTACCCATTGGGTACAGAAATGCTTTCTGGTTGGTATTAATCCAACCATGTTATGACGCATTAAACACCAAGCATTGCACATAAAACAATTCTCAGTGACAAGAAAGTAAGAATTGCAATGGTTGTGTTGACCAATGATTGAACTTTGATAATAATAATAAGCCTTGCACATGATAGAGGGCCTTATCATGTCTTCTAGACGTCTCAAAATGCTTCACAGAATACACTGTAAAGTGAATTTACTATATTTGGGTGAAACGGCAAACAAAAACTTTATGACTCACTAAATGAAGATCCTTGGATAAGGCCTTTAGGGTATTATTTTCTATATTGTACTGCTTTTATTATACTAGTGGTTTTATATTTGTGAGTTCTGTGTTCATGTGACAATATACACTGCTTTATCTTCATATACTCATTTGAAAGACATGAATGTAATCGATGAATTGTTATGCTTTGTAATACGATACTTTGGTGCCTAGCCTCATCTGTGCCCTTGTAACACATTATAAATCGTTGCCAAGTTCCATGAACAGTACTCCAGTACACTTACAGCTGTCAGTTCATTTTTTGTTTCTAATTTAAAAAAGCTTTTGCACGTAATGGTGGATGTTCAACTCGTTGTTCAGGAGTAATTGCAGATATAAACATACCTGAGAACATGCAACATGTTCTCTTCACTTCCTTTACAAATGTTATCTGTGTGTTGCAATAGAGCACATTTAGATGCAAGAGAAACAATTATTAAAATCACTTGACAGCATCAAAGCCATTTCTTGTTCAAATGTGCTGCCATTCGCAGTGGTGTGGTGCACTGCTCACATTTGGTGGTGTTTAAATAACCCACCAAACATCTTGTGTTAAATATAAGTACTTGGATGTAAAAGTGCATCACGCAGTAGGAAGACAGTATTGTACAGGCCATGTTCACCACAGACATCAGTTATCATTAGTGCTGCCAGGACTTTCCCAGCAATTTAATACTAAACAAATTATCTGTGCTTACACATGTATGATATTCGTTGGCACTGGATATAATTACTTTTTGGGGGCTCCCAAAAATTTTGCCTTTTGCACAGCAGTCAGTGCCTTCTGAGTAGAGGAGATAACTGTAGTGCCTTAATTATTAATAGAAACTACGATTGAAATACTCCATATACAATACTGGAATGGAACAAGCTACACTCCACGTACAAGACTGGAATGAAACTGGATTCAGCGTGCTATGAAAATATTATCAAAATAATGTTCTCAGGATGTGGTTGTTCTGGGAAGTGAAAGAAACAGAAGTCCTTTATTCGCAGCTGACTTTATTCTGAAAGATAAGGTCAGATTGTAAGCACTTCTTTCATTGCCCTGGTCCATGGCATGCTACTGGGAGGAGCACAGTCATCTGCGTGCTGTTTTTGACAGCTGACCTACTGCCATGAATGAGTTGGAGGCTTATCAGGAGCGGTGAGGAACTAAGCAAACAGGTTTGTAAGGTATGAGGCCGACTGTACCCTGCACTTTGTGTTTACCACAGTGGTTTCGGTCACTGAGTGGAACCTAGGAATAATGTAGCAGAGAATGACTTTGTAATTTCAGCGAATTGGAAGTACTGTACTGTAGAACCTTGGGGCTATTTTAAAGCTTGCTTCCGGATAAAAATAGAACAATGCAGCCGGATCTCTGCCATTTAACCCAGGTTATACCTATATTCGTGTTCAAAGTTTTAAAGAGGTATTCACCAACATATGAACTCCAGAAATGCAGACCTGGGTAAGAGGCTGAGCAGGGGAAGCAAAAAGAGGGAGGAGATTAGACTGGGATCGATGAAGGAGCAGGAGAAGATTGGGCAACACTTTTATTTGAAGTAAAAGGACGAGAAACGTGATATAAACTAGATATCGAAACTTGTAAATTTTTATTATTATTATTATTGTAAATAGTTTCATAACGCAAATTAAATGGATTCAGAATTGTTAGAGGACGAGGTAATCTTGCAAGAATTGTTTTGGGAAGTTGGGTTGGGTTGGCTAGATTGACCAATGTCCGACTCTTGTTTAAAACTATCACTTTGGGGTGGACATTGTGTCATAATGTGATGTATTAATCAATCAGTTATCTCAACATTGAAAATTCCACCCTATTGATAACTAAAAACATTGGCAGGTGTGAGCTACCTCCTCTGTACTCCCCCTCCCTTCCTCTGCACTTGTGATACCCCTTCCATTGGGCTTGTTACAGCATCTCTTGTGCTGTCTGTTGTTTAATAATCAGATTGATTATAATTGTAATATTGATTATAATCAGTGCCTTGCGATGCCTTCCCAGCGTGAAAGGCGCTATACAAATGTAGTTTGATGTTGTTGTAAGACCAGTCATTTAATTACAAGAGTCTTCGATCACTTTGCCAGGTAGCTCCTTTAAAATGTATTACCTTTTGGAATAATGTTTTGAAGGTATCATTGTACAGCATAGTAGAGAATTGAGGATTGTCTAATAGATTGGCCCAGACAAAGGCCTTGTTAACAGGTGGACTTCTGTCTGTTCCCCACTACGCTATGTGTTACTTTATGTTTGGGATTTTTTAGCTGAGAAAGGAAAGCGTATTGTAGCTTAAATCTACATCAAGCAAATTTGATTCTTTTGACTGATTTGTGTCTTTTTCAGTGATGGTAATCTGAACCACCTGACCACGGACACAGAGTCTGAGATGGACAGCACAGAGCAACTGGCACTGGGAAGCACTGACACGCTGGCCAATGGCAACAAGAGCGATCTGGACGCTGCCAAACGGTTGGCAAGGCGACTCTATAACTTGGATGGATTTAAGAAATCAGATGTGGCTCGTCACCTGGGAAAGAAGTGAGTGAATGCTACAGGAAGCTCCACATTCTGTATCAAGTCAGAATGGGATTGTTTAGTCTGGCATGTTTGGTCTGGTTGTTGCTTTATTTGAGAAAGATGGGAACTGTTTCCCCATTCTCTACAAAAAAATCCCTTTAATAATAATCCTTATGTTTGAAATAGTGCCTTTCATGTCAGGAGGAATTCTCAAAATACATTACGTGACGTAATACAAAGTGTGATGACTGTGTGTAGGCAAATACAGCAGCCAAACAAACCATGACTCCAATGTCCAACTTTATCTGTGGCATTATTGGTCAGGACACGGAGAAACTCCCTTCGCGTTTCAAATAGTCCCACCTTGAGATGCGTTGAGATGTCTTAATGATGTGGTAAGGCACTGTACCAAATGCTTACCAAGAATACCAAGGATTACTATTATTACTATTGATGATGAACAAGAACTGAACGGTTCAGAAAACTATTCCTTACACTCCTGAACCATCAGAGGGTGCTGGTGTATACATGTTCGAAATAAATGTGAAATTCTTTTCATTCTTCTTCCCTTTGTTTCTCGCTAGCCTTTCTAATTTCTCATTCCTCTGTTGTGCGTTTTGTAAGGATTGATGTTGTTTTCATTATTCCGTTTTTGTTTTATTGTCTATTCTACTCTTTTCTAAAAATGTCTTCATTATCTTAGGTATCTTCCTCTGAATAGTTACCCTTTGATCAGAATCTGCACCTTACTGTCTTATTCTCTATACAGATTTCATTTCTCTCACATGTTGTCCTTGCTCTAATTTATTTTATGTTTCTTTCACTCCTTCGTATTGGTATTTCTCTTTCCATCTGTTTCCTTTTATTTCTCATTTTCCTCCATTTGTCTCATCCCTCAAACATTTCAATAATCTTGCCATTCCTTCCGCTTAACTCTGTTAGTCTGTTACTCATTCTCATTTTTTTTCACTGTGCCTTATTTCCTCTCATGGATTTTCTGTCCCTCATACTTTTTTCTGTCTACTGTCTCTGTATCTTACTCTGTTGTGTTGTCTCTTGTATTACTCTGTATTACTCTCTGTCCTTGCAGTAATGACTTCAGTAAGATGGTGGCAGAGGAATACCTGAGATTTTTCGACTTCACAGGAATGAGCTTGGATCAAGCCCTCCGGTAAGTAAGTAAAGTCACTGAGTTAACATTTCTGCTTTTTGACCTGACAGGTTCAATATGTAGTACGATTTTAGATATACTTATTAAAGTGCTATTGGTGCACTTAATGGAGAGCATGATTGTCACAAAAAATAAGTGTATCTAAAAATAGCAAGTGTATCAAATAAAATGTCTCCTTAAATCAAATAGAAGGGAAATGTCATTGGCAACTTCTTGAAGGAATACTGCGCCTTGGGACGTCCTCCTGACGTGAAAGCTGCTATTCAAATGTAATTTGTGTATTCTATAACTGAAAGCAATTATTATAATAATATAACAATAGTAAAAATAATAATAATCCTTGCATTTGATAAAGTGCCTTATCACATTGCTGAAGTAAATTGTGAGGAATGGAAGAAAATGGGACATTTAGAATCTTGACTCTAACTTGAATATTCATTTGTCAGTATTGGATACAAAAGGATGTGTGCATTATCAATACAGGTTTACTGTTGCTATTATGACAGCTTCTATTTGATTTATATGATTGTAAAGATAATCTATGACAATAGTAACAGTTTGATGTGATGGTGCTGATGTGATGGTGCATCAGCTGTGCCGTATTCTTTGCTGCACCTATTGTTTCAATGGTGACAATATATGCTCCTGTTTTTAAACCATATAGGAATATATAGTCCCAAGTAGCCAAGGTCAAGACCAGATCTTAAATAAGAGTAAGATATGGAATTTTTCTAATGTACTTTGGCCTAAGTGACAGTTGTTGTTGTTGTATCGTTGCAGGGCATTCCTAAAGGAGTTTGCACTTATGGGAGAAACACAGGAGAGGGAACGTGTGCTGATCCATTTTTCACATAGATATCACCAGTGCAATCCTGGTAAAATCTCTGCTGAGGGTAAGAACAACGCACATTCAGTCTGCAAGCAAAAGGTCTCCTCAGCAAACCAAACTCTTCAAATATTCAGTTTTAAAGTTTTTAAACTGTGTCCCCAAGGCAGCTCGGTTGAGGACCTAAAGTTTTCAAGAATTGAAAGTAGAAAAAGACCAAACCAGAGAAAAAAATAGTGGGTTTTAGTCAAGATAGAAATAGTTTATCAATCTTTAACAACAAATGTGATTTATAATTGATCTTAAGTATGACCTTAGTGGATTGCAGTATTTAATTTCAACATGTTTCCAAAGCGAGAGCTAATTTCCAAACAGGCTTTCATTGGGTTTATTTCCACAACACTCTTTTCTTTCTGCAGATGGTATACACACATTGACTTGTGCACTGATGCTACTGAACACAGACCTGCATGGACATGTAAGTATGAGCTCAGTCACAATAAAACATGCTGGCAATATAACAGCACAGTAGACAAATGCAGGTTTATTTTATGTTATCCTGACACAGCAGTGTGTTATTCTAAATGGAACCACTCTCTGAAATGTCCTAATTTATCAACTCGTTCATGAGTTTACCAAGTTAATAGAATTTAGGAGATTTGGGGCAGAAGCCTCCCTCCCCAGTGTGGGGGGAGTAATACTGCGGATGCCTATTAAATAAAATGTTTAATGCAACAGAGTGACCATTCCTTGAAAAGGTTATTACATCCTAAGATTAATCCTCCTCATAGGCACTGCCTAATGGTGCATGTACTGTGGGATGGATTTGAAGATAGTTATGGTTGACTGTAAAAAATGGTTTGGAACTCCCTGGAACATTCTGGAACTCCATCCCACGGTCCCTTTGCATCGCTTCCTCCCTTGCCTCCTTCAAGGTCGGTCTCAAGACCCTTCTCTTCGACTGTGCCTTTGGTCTCCCTCCCACCTCTCCGCCTTCCCTCACCCTTACACCTACCCTCCCCCTTGATCGGGCCCCAACACCTGACTGTTCAGCGCTTTGGGACGTCCTCCCGACTTGAAAGGCACTCTATAAATGTAACTTTGTTGTTGTTGTTTGTGGTTGAAAATTGCAAGGAAACTGCACTCAAATGAAATTGTAATAAAAAACACAACAATTACAGTTATTTATAACGTTTCTGCAAAGAAAGAGAATGCTGTGTCTCTTTAATTCTACTTTCTGATGATATGTACAATTAATAAAAATCATTCCCTCCCTGAATTGGAAAGTAGATGATAACAGCAGGTGCATTGAAACAGAAAGTGTGTACACTTTATATGAGAGCCAGACTATTATCAAGTCTTTCCTGGTACAATCCTGTACTGTTGGCACAGTGACTTTGCTGTATTGACTAAGTTGGGAGCAATTTTACTTCTGGGTCAGATGACTGTAGTTTCACATCCAAGGTCAGGATTTGAGCCCATTGTCTGGGTTAGGACCCTTCTGCAGTGCTGAGAGAGAGCATTGCATTGTTGGAGGTTCTGTTCTTCAGACGAGACGTTAAACTGAGGTTCAGTCTACCTTTCAGGTGATGTTAAAGATCTTACGGCACTATTTAAAATAAATATTATAATACTTACATTTGATATATCACCTTTCACTTCGGGAAGACATCTCAAAGTGCTTCAAAAGAAATACTGTAAAGTGTAATGACTATGTATATTGTAAGTAAATGTTGTATTTGTAAAGAGAAGAGTTTGATCCAGGTTGACAATCCTCCAGATTAGTTAGTTACATTATGCTGTTTATGGGGCTTTTGATGTGAGACATCTGGCTACTTGCAATTAGCTACAAAAACTAAACTTTTACAGTAATTGTCTGTTCAAAGCTTGAGACTTTCAATGTCTTAGGCACTATATCAAATACAAGAATTATTATATTGATTCTAAATAGAAGCATTCAGTTAAAGTCTGTGTATTGCTGTTTTGGGGACAACAGTCATAGTGTTTGTGTTACTGCAGATTGCAGTGATTCTGCACACAGCATTTTTGCACTGGTCCACACATATGATGAATGACTTAAAATTTGAATCTACATTTTTAAGTATCAAAAAACTTCCAAAAGTTTCTGTGCTTTTAATCACTGATATTGTCCACTTTCATTACAGAATATTGGAAAGCGAATGTCCTGTTCTGAATTCATTGGGAATCTGGAAGGATTGAATGATGGCAAAGATTTCCCAAAGGACCTACTGAAGGTAAAGTGTTCTGTGAAGTAATCTGTGCCGAGAGTTATCTGTGCCAAGTGTCTGTGGAGCAGGACCTTGTTGTAACTTTTCTCTTTTGTTAATTCTCCCATGAGTGTTTTTTAAAAAAACTCCAATTACCAACATACAGTAATGAAATCAGAAACCAAAAGCAAACTGAGTTGAGAGATTTGAACAGTGTTGTTGTTACCAATTGTAATGTCCGCCTCCAGCTCTTAGAGTATGTTATTAGACTGCTGATTTACCAGGTATTCCAGTCTGCTTTCCTGAATGCGTTGGTTCGAAATGGAAAGCTACAATTAGATCTTCTAAGCACTAGAAGCAAGCATAACATCAGCAGAGCCCTAGGAAAAGCTTATTATTAAGCGCTCTGAGACATCATCCAGCGTGAAGGGCACTATATAAATTCAAGTTGTTGCTGCTGTTGTTGTTATGCTCAGCCTGGCACCATATCCTGCCAACATCTTACCTTATAAGTATAATGTTCTAATGTCTTTTGTTACTTCTAACAATGTTTTGCGAGTTGCATTAAAGAAGTTGTTTTGTGGCAAAGCATTGTTAAATTGAAGCGCCCTTTCTGTTCTTGAGGACATATGTTGTAGGGAAGGTGGAGGGGGTGAATCATGTTGTTGCCAACCACATGTCATAGGTTTGTGTAATAGATAATTTGGACTACATCATGGCTGAGCTAATTATGATAATACAAAGAATTGCTGTCCGTTTAATTACCTTTTAGCAAACAAACGTTGGCCAAAAATAAATGAACAAATCCCATTTGTGCTCCCAGATGTATTACGTGCCCTCTAAACAAGATTGCTGTTTACAAGATGTGCCAGGTTCCCAGAGTACTTCCAGAGGACTGTTAGCGTGATGAAGAACAATATCATTAATCCATGTGTGTGTGTGTGTGTGTGACTTCTATATCATGGCATTGGTAGACTTCGGAGTTTAACATCTAAAATCTATTATGATTATATTATATAGAATTATGTTATGTAACAACAGGAAAATTCCATATCACCTCAGTAAGCAGTTGTGCAAATCAGTTGTCAGCAGAGAAGCACAAACCTTGATGGATGAGCTCCTAATAAGTCAGATAATTTTCCCCATTCCCGTGAGTTTGTAACAATGAGGTTTGACTTTGATTCAAGCATAACTAGTAGGATGGCGAACAGGATGGTCTCTCTAACTCTAATCCTATTTCTGAATACAGGCTATTTGTTTAGATAGACAGGCTTAGTCCTAATTCTACCACAAATAATCAATCTGAATTTGCCCTATATTCTGTTCAGTAAATTGTATGGGATTTCCTTTCCTTGAGGATTGCACTAGTTCTTATAATGATCTCTAAAGTCTTCAGACCCAAGAATCGTCTTTACATACAAAGACCAGTTAAGATGAAAATAATTATTTAATATTTTATTTTACATCATTCATTAAGTTCCAATAAATTATTGTGTAGACATTATTGTGCACCTGTAATAGGGAGAGTATCCAAGTGCTTCCAAACGTTATTCATTGTCCATCTTATTGGGGGAAGGGGAAGAAATCTAGTTGTGTAATGGCATCAGATAAAATGAACTAAAGCAATGTTGGAGGGAAGAGTTTATAATGATTGATTTTTGGGGCCACTGCTCATGGGAGGGATACCTCGTGATTGAACCATTCAACTCTTGTTCTCAAAATCCTTTCCACTAATGTAGACACTGACGTAACGTAAGCACGAATGCCTCTTACAGCAAGGGAACAGTGGCAGTAATCAAAGGGAGAACTCTGTCTGCTGTGCTGCGGGCTATCCCTTAAGGCTATGAGCTTGTTTATGTGCCATTGTGTAGTGAAGAAAACCAATAATAACACGTCCCTCTCGTCTTCTCCCATAGCTCTGCCCAGAGGTGGCCTTCTGCATGGGTACAGAGATGATTCATGCACTAATGGACAATAATCTAATCCCTGATGGGACTCATCTTTTCTTGTTTTGTAGACGTAGTATTTTACTTAAGATAAGAGCACACTCATGGGGTTGATGGTATAATCTGAGCAAAATAATAATAATAATAATCCTTGCATTTGATATAGCACTTTTCACGTCGGGAGGACGTCCCAAAGCGCTTCACAGAACACACTGTAAAGTGAATTGACTGTATATTTGTGGGCGAACGCGGCAGCCAATTGCGCACAGCAATGTCCCACAAACAGTCGTAGATTGAAAATGACCAATTTATTATTGTTTTTGGTTTTGGAGGGATTATTATTAGGCGTGTGGAGTAAGGAAACTTGCCTAAGGTTTTGCCCTCTGCCTGGAATTGAACTCAGGTCTCTCGCTTGCAAAGCGAGTGCTCTAACCACTGAGTTACAGGACTCCACAAAGTCAATAAATGAGCTTGAAAACTTCCTGTGTTATAAGTAGGAACAGGAGATATGTTTTTGTGACACATTTGAGTTTTATTCAGGACAACCAGAAATAGGGCAAATGATTATGCTGTTAGGCATGTTCCAGAGACCACTGTATATTGATGCTCACTCTCTGAGATGTCATGAAATAAGGTATGATTTTTCCAGAGCTAGTTTCTCACTCTATAGCTGGTCATAGTTTTATTGTGTCAACGATTAAGCCACATGCTATGGAAAACTACACTGTGCACAACAATGTTTCCATTGGGCGCACCCCTCTCCCCACCAGTTCCCTGAGATCATTTGCAATATCAACGCCTGTGAAGCTGTCTTGAATTTTGAATTAGTTTTGGGTCTGCTAAAACTGTTGGTCAACAAAATTCTCGGAGTAAAGCTGAAATCCCACTAAACAGCTGGAAGTCGAGTGCATGAGTTGACTTCACAGACATTGGCATTGTGATATTCATGTGATGCTTTTTGTAATAATAACTTTTACATATAACTTGATATAGCACCTTATCATACTCCTGAGGCACCTCAAAGAGCTTCACAGGATTTACTGAAAAAGATTTTTACTGTGTATTTTGTAGAAGGTCCTTTTCATCTTCCTTTCCAAACACTGCTGGCCTTCTGAGACAGATTGAGGCCCACAGGCCCACCTCAGGAATGCAGTGTTAAGGCCACAGCATCGCCTTATTTCTATTTCAGCACTGTCATTGAAGTCAAGGCTGGCTTTGGTGCAGTGGTTTGGTGAAAGCATGGCATATGGGTCTCTGTGCGGCACAAGTAACAACAACTTGTACAGTGCCCTTCACATGGGGTTACCGCCCCGGAGCGCTACCCAGAGTGAATAACAGAACTATATGGGGTTAATTGAGGTTTAGTGGTATATATCCCTATGCTTGTCTATGGCACACAGTGCTTTTGAGATCCTGGCAGTGTGTGAAGCACTGAAGCACAATTGACATTCATTTAATGTGACACCGCAACTTTAAAACCACAGCCACAAGTATCAGTGAGTAAAACCTAGCCGAGATTCAGCGCAGCCCAATGCAGCACTCACTGCTCTTCCCTGTTCAGAAGCAACAAGCTGCTCTGATGATTTGCTGAACTGGGAGAGCATGCTAATTGCATTCCTGTCGACATCACTGCAGCAGGTTGCTATTGGTTGTCACAAAGAATAAAGATGTTCGAGGCAGTGCCCCTCAGAGGGTGACTGGAGCGGAAGTGCTAGTATTGGTTTGTAGGGAGGGGGAGTCCGCAGAGAGCCAGTATTACGGAGGTGCAAACTGACCCATTCCTTGGTACCAGTGCAACACTGTTGGGCATTTTTTATCCTGTTAGCTCAGGAACTAGATTTGTCTTTTTAAGAGTCAGAAATTATTTTTTTCAAAAAAAACAAAGATGATTGGAGTGAACAGTGTGCACACCACTGGGCATTTGCGCTCACACTCCCGTTCAGTGTCGAGTGTCCGATACAGTGTGGATTCCATTCGATACGGCCTGCCACAACGACCAAGGACTCTGAGGCCAGTTGTAAAACTCCAGAATAAACGGAAGGTAAGATCTGGGGCAGAATAATAATTCTTGCATTTGATATAGCGCCATATCACGTCTTCGAGATGTCTCAAAGCGCTTCACAGAATATATTCTAAAGTGAACTGATTGTATATTTTGTGGGCAAAATATGCAAACCTCACGTACAGCTCTTCTGTTTCTTTATTTTCTTCATTTATGACCTGTCCAGTTCTCTTTGATTCTAAATCTATATTTGACAATCAAAACAGTCTCTTATTTCCTTTTCTTACCATGACTAGAATTTGAAAATGTAAACTGTATCATGCTGTGATCTTGATTTGAATTTGGTGCATTGCAGTATGAAGTTTGAATTATATTTTGTTTTTCTTTTTTCAATTGTAATAACTGCTAGAGAAATACCACCAAAGCAATAAAGGATGTGTTGAATGCAGGATTATGCCTGTCAGTTACAATGCTGTAATTTCATCATTGGTATTTAATCAATGGGTTCAGCTGATCTTGTGTGAAGGACTAGAGCAAAGCCCAGCAGTTTGGATGTTGTCTGAACTCTGGATTCAGTGCTGGTGACCAGTTCACTCCCAGCTCTATGTTGTTTACATCGGAGATTTGATCGGAAGTAAAACATCTTCCTCGGTACAGCATGCTCTAGTGTTCCTTCAGGAGCTGCAAAGTTAGGTTAGAATAACGTGAGTTAGTTAATGTGGATCAGATAACGTGAATCAGTACTGGTGATTGTAGCTGAGCATCTGAAGCTCACAAGGATCTAATGACTTTTTTTGCATGTGTATATGTCTGTATGTATATTCTATTTATATGTTAAAATATATAAAGGAAAGCTATACCCAGGATTGCGTTATGAGAGTGTAATTAAAAATGGAGATTCGCCCTGTGAAGTTCAGTAGGTTTATTATCATATGCGCCTTGCTGAAGTTTTCATTCTCCCCCTATCTCTACTGAACTGCTGACACACACTGAGGTATTGTCCTTCATAACCTGAGACAAAGTTTTATTTTCTTCAAAAAAAGGATTTGAAAATCTGTTAAAGATAAAACATCAAACAACACATTGTATTCACTGCTAATCAGATTCACAGCACAGTTGTTCTATGTGCCTTTGTGTAACAGTTGGGCAAGTCAGTCTGATCAATGAGTTGAGTGTGGGTGCAGAGGTCTGCACTTTCAGTCTGTGTGCCAGTGTTGCATCAATGGGCAGGGAATGTCATGCCGTCAGGGAACCTTCACATGCCCATCATTTCTGATGCCTGAAATCTGAAGCCAACCCCTGTCTAAATTCAGTATTCGCTGAGTACACGTGCAAAAAGGTGACATTCCCTATTTGGCAGAAGATAACAGTAACCAAACGATATTATGTACAAAATCCTGTTTTTTATTATCCACTTGCTGAATGATAATTTCTCTCTGTCTGTCTCTATGTAGGTTTTATACAGCTCCATTAAGAATGAAAAGTTGCAGTGGACAATGTAAGTATATGATTATATGCTGTTATGTATATAAAATGGTAAACCTTCCTATAATTAATTGATTTCTTAAGTCTTGTCACAATTCCCGTACATGTTCTAATTCTTATGTCAATGCCAGGAACCTTTCACAACATCTTGAAGCTCCTTCACTTGATGGAAAGTCAAGTATTGTTAACATTAAAATGTCAATAGGAGCACATTGATCAGACAGTGTAGCCTGGTCTCTGGTGGATACGCAGACACGGTGGTGTTCTAGTGTTCTACAATGAGACTCTTGAGTAGGTGGTAAGTAAAGGCCAGGTGGGATCTTCAATGCATCAATTTATTCCCTGATTCAAAAGCAGCATTGGCAGGTCCCTGGAGAAAATCTTGGTCAGGGAGCGGTGAAAGTGTGGGAAGACCCAAGGAGGAAAAGTGGATGTGATCGGACATTTATTACAATAGAACACTAACAATAATTATGTTGAAATATGATTTTTACTACATAAACCAGTTCTCCTAGTAAAGTGATGGCTAAGTGCTGACAGTTTATAAATAATAATAATGCTTGCATTTGATATGGCCCCTTTCACATCAAGAGGATGTTCACAGAATATATTGCTCCATGGATTGACTCTGTATTTTGTAAACAAAATTTTGCACGCAGCAATGTCCCACAAACAGCCATGAAGTGTGTGACCAATTTTTTTTTATATTTGGGGGTTTGTTGGCCAGGATACTGGGAGAAACTCTCTTCTCTTTTAGAATATTGCCATGGGATCTTTAACATCCACCTGCAAAGGCAGATTAGTTTAATATATAATCCGACGGACGGCACCTCCAAAAATACAACACCCACTACCCCCCCACCCAAAACACTGCATCAGAGTGTCATCTTAGACTATGTGATTCCAAATCCTGACATGGGGCTTGAACTCCTAACTTTCTAACTCAGAGATGAGAGTGCTCCCACTACACCAGGTTTACACAGCTTTATTATATAAAACTGAGTGATAATAGCTGAAAATATATATCAAGTAGACCAGAACTATACATAGTCATCCAAGGGACTAGTCATCCAGACAAGAGCACTGGACAGCTAAATTCATAACCTGCAAAGCTCCTTGTTAAGGATTTTAACTGCCTTTTTTAACTTCACAGCCTCGTCCCCCTCTCTTCTCCCTTGACCTGAAAGAGTTCCCTTAAGACACCTTAGTGCCTATCTCCTCCTTTCCATTTTGACCTAACTGCTCTTAGACTACCCACTGCTTTCTTCTCTTTAGCCAATTACTAATCCACATTTGTGCTCGTTAATTCATTTTATATCCATTATTTTTTGGAGTGTGCATATCTGATTAAAGCAAGCAAAAAGTGCCAGATCTTACTAATTGTCCTGGGCCTCCCTCCCTATCTTGGAATTGTTAACAGATTTAATAGCTTCAAATAATAGGGTTAATTTAGTAACGCCATACCAATTAAACGGATTAATGTTATTGCAAAATGGGACAAGAGCTTCGCTTCTTAAGGGCGAAACCTTGGGCAAGTTTCCTTACTCCGCACGTCTGATAATAATCCCTCAAAAAAAAATTGGTCACTTCAATCCATGACTGTTTGTGGGACACTGCTGTGTGCAATTGGCTACCGCATTTCGCCCACAAATATGCAGTCAATTCACAATACAGTCTATTCTGTGAAGCGCTTTAAGATGCCTAGAAGAGGTGAAAAGCGCTATGTCAATTACAAGGATTATTATTATATTATTATAAGTAATGTCTGAAAACAAATTTAAACTTACACAGATGTATTCTACATCATTTTTTTTTCTCTTGCATAAACATCAATGAAAATACTACATCAACAAAACAACAAATTACATTTGTATAGCGCATTTCATATCAGCAGGATGTCCCAGGTCAACGATTGCTCTTGAACAGATATTTGAAAAAAATGCAGTAAATGACAAAGTTCACTCTATTCGCCTTTTAAGCATGACATTGAGTTACAGCCCTTTTATCAAGTGTCGAGTCCAGATATTATTTTGTTTGGTGCTGGTTCCTTCCGCATTGGCTGGGGATGGGTTGTGCAGATTGTCTGTAAGGAAGCAGGTACCAGCACTTCAGCTACTTGGGCCTCGATCAAGAATCAGAAATGATTCTCGCATTATTTGAATCAGATTCACAGGATTCGGGAAGTATTGGATTTAGTTTGAAAATAAGCAATATTTGACAAATGCGCTGGCACTGCATGTAAAGTTTGTTCCATCAGAAGAGACTACCCAGCAGGGAACATACTCTGGGAAAAGTGATTTGTATACTTTCTACAAACATTGCAATGAAAAAATAGACCTCAATCATATAGGCACATGATTAACTAAACCTGTTTAAAGCTGGCTATCAGTGACATTCTGATACGAACAAGCACTATAAAAATGTACGTTCTTTGTATATCTTCCCATAGTCTTTCTCATTTTACATAATCCCATGAGGGATTTTTGTGTACAAATGATTCTGATTCTCCAAAGGTCAATGAGAAAACCTCCAGATATTCATTCATCTTTGCCTCTCCACTACTTGACTCTATTCTGTTCGTCACAGACAGCATTTGTGCATCGCAGCAATGTAGGATCAGCATGATCAGAGGATTACACCTACTGCAAGCAGTCTAATCATGTTCACAACCAGTTATTTGTGAAGGAACACTTTAATTTTGACCATATGAGGGGGAGGGAATCATTTTGATTGCTGCTGCTGGGCTTCACTTGAAGTTTGGTTGAATCAAGTTGTTTGTTGCTGGTGAGTAGAAGTTGTTGCATTCACAAGCTGTGAGCTCAGAATTTTAGTTGTAAATAAGGCTGAGTGCTTATGCTGCTCAATTTTAATTAGTGAATGAGGTCCCGTCCATTTTAATGGGCAGATGATCCGTTGATGCGTAGCTGATCTGATCTTCCTTCATTGTGCAGGTGAATAGGTAGGCATCACGCATGGTGTTCAGTCACTCTGCTTTATCATTCTTATAGGGAAATGAACATGTTAAACAAATTGTTTAACAAATCATCTGTTAGATAAAAAAACGAAGGTGGGTTTCCAGTTTTGATTCTTGACATTGTAAACCAGAAACTTTGGAGCTTGAATTTTAGTTTTTATTTTACCATCTGGTAAGTCATATTTCACCATGAAATCAGCAAACTCCCATGTGTCTGATGTGGTAACATGTGGAGACCATTCTGATTCCTGACTCCATTATCATTGTCAAGGCCCTGTAAATCTTACCTTCAAAATTACCCTTTACAATATCAATTGTTTCATTAACCTTCATTGCCTTCTTATGACAAATGTCCATTGGTCTCTGTGGCTGTTAATGCCTAATTATCTGGCAGCATTTTCAAGGTTGTCCTGGTGAAAGTTATATTTTCCAGGAGAACAAAAATTGCAGTGATGTAAATTGGAAACCAACCAAAATAAACCAAAGCAGTTATGTTACAAAGGGAGTCAGAAAGGCTACATTCACCAATTTACAACAAAAACAAAAGATATAGAAATGGGAATGTTTTCCATATCTTGGAGAGTGTTCCATTTCACAAACTTAACAACCTTCGGTAGGAGAGCACCAATAAAATCTCCTCGAGCAACCTAAGATTCACACAGTACTTGAGATGGGCATGTTTCATCCTTGTATAACACACTGGTGAATGTGCTGTATCCAAGAAACATAATGCCTGATGCCTATTATTGTGTACATAAATGAAAACTCTGATTCTCATTTTTGGTCATGAAGTATAGCAGCATCACACCCAGATATCTGGTTTCTTTCTCCAGCTCAGTTTTTGCAGTTCATACAGCATTTACACTTGCATGTCTTTTATGCTGAAGGAATTGTAATGATGCAGCAGTATTCAGGACCCAGCAGGAGCTTGTGCTGTCAAGGTGACTCTGAGCTGAATGCTGCAGACTTATTAACAGCTGCTGAGACAAGTGCATTAATGTGGAAAACTAGTGCCAGGAATGGCCTTATCGAGGCACTGCCATCATTAACAGCATGGCTGCTTATTATTCTGATGATTATATTAACAGTAGTTCTTCGCTCCTGGAACAATAGCTGATAGCATTCCAGCCACGGTCTGTTCTCTTTTGGCTGAATAACACTTCATGGTGCAATTAGACATCTTCTCCTGTGCACAATTACAAAAGCAGATGTGTCGCGAAACACTCAGTGGAATGTGTACTGGGTATTAAGTGAACACTCACAACCTGCGGGAGATGGAGGGTGTAGATTGTTTTTATTTTAAAGTGGAAATTATAATTACCAGTGCACGTAACTGGGAATAAGATGGAATCTCTAAAGTAGTGTGGGTGAGCCAAGTGCACACCTAAGGCAGCTTGTTTGCTAGATAATATTTGTTTTCTTTATTGTATCTCAGATCAACTTTGATTCCTGTTCTAGCCCCTGTCCCTTCCGCCCCAAACTTCCCAAAAATTAGCAAATATTGAATTTTTCACTGAGAGCTGATTAGCCCCAAGAGGGCTTTTAGCCAGATAACTACTTTAATCTCATGTCCTGGTAGATTCTAAGTATCAAACGCTGGCATGATTTAAGGTAATAGTTTAATCTGGTCCCTTTAGTACTGTGACCAACTCAAAACTATAAACATCATTCTCCTAATTGGCCTCAAGCCTGATATTGGAACCTTTGGAAACTCATCGGGAACTGGTTCAAATAGCCGTGATTCTGAGCTAGATCTAGATTGAGAGGATGGAAGCAGAATGAAAATAAACTAAATGAAAGCAAAAACTGTGTAAAATGAAATTTAGAATATTTGCAAAAGGAAGAATAGACACAAGGGAACGAAAAAGCAGAGAGAGGCAATGTGGAACTCAATTTTTATAAGCTTTTATTTGTATCTAAAATTGCCAGAAATATATTTTCTTAGCAAAAGTTAATGTTTCTTAGAGCTATGTCTGACATCTGAGTAGCTTTATTATGTAATTAAAAAGTGATTGTTTCAGCACCTTGGTGTGAGAGCTAGAAATTTAAAGCCAAGATCTGCTATATTTTGTAACAAATGAAGCATAGGAATAACTAAATACTATATCTAGCAGAGCATCAAAACTGTAAATTCTGCTCTGGAATAGACAGAAAGCTGATTAAAGCATGAAGTAATAGGAAAGGTGGTAAATAAGTATACACCACACTATTTGTGTGGGAACAGAAAGAACTATTTGTGCTGTTAAGGTAGCATCTATACCGTGTAAAAATATCAATACTGTATATCAATACTGTGTAATACGTTTCTGGAAGGTACTGACTCTTGACTCAGTAGATGGATAGCTGGCTGGCTGAAAGGAGATTAATCTGGTTGGGATTTGGTTCAGAATAGTCAACGAGGAGATTTGCCAAGATTTCTGTCTGGGCAAATCCATACAGATAAATATAGTATTCTATCATTGTAGAACAGTTCATTTGCTTGCATGTTCAAATAAAGATTATTTTAATGAGTAGTATAGTGGACTGTTTGCAGAATTAAGCCCTAGCAACCTGTACTGTCTCCTAATTGTGATGAAGCGGTCTTTTTCTGGCTGTTCACCACAAAATACACAGTCACTGCACTTTACAGTATATCCTGTGAGGAGCTTGGAGACTTCCTCATGATGTGAAAGGTGCCCTACGAACTGAAAGATTATTCTTATTACGTGGCAATGGATGGTATGAATCAGGAATCTTGGTTTGAAATGTGCTTATCTGAGGCTAGGCCCATACAAATACAGTCACTACACTTCACAGCAAATCTTGTGAAGCGCATTGAGATTTACTCCTGATGTGAAAAGTACTATATAAAATGCAAGGGTTATTACTCTGAATACAACATCCTCATGAAGTTTTTAATTGTAGACTCCTAAAAGTTATGAAATTATATAATGTCAAACACAATCTAAATGTCAGAAAATATTCTTTTATATAACAGATAATTGGAAAGTTAATCAGCCATTCAGTGGATTTTCTGATAAAAACTTCAGCTGGTGCTGAAATAGAAATATGTATCTTGAAAGGTTCAAAAAGCACATCTTTTAAATTAGATTTAAATTAGATACTGTTAATTGCATTGATCTCACAGCTAGTTCCCATGTGATAACTCTTTTCACATGTCTATGATTACCTGCTGGGAGGCTTCTTACAGCTGTGAATGCTGTGCAGGGCACTCTCTCTGAGTAAAACTTCTCTCGCCCGAGTAAGAATGAGCAATGTGACAGCCCAGCCTGGTGCCACATGTCCAGTAAGTGTGAGTGCCAATCTCAAGCCAAAATATGAAAGTTCCCTTAAACCTTGTTGTCGAATATACTATCCCGATACTTAGCAGAGTCAATAGCAGAGTACAGTGCAGATCATCGACTATGTGACTTGGTGGTAGCTTTGTGATACTGGACCACAGTACACTCACTCATTTAAAGGAAGCGTAGGAAGAGTAGTGATACTGTGTTTTACTGGTGAATAACAAACACTACTATACGTTACGTTATAATAAGCTTGTGCTACTTTGTATGCTCAGTGCATTATCAATAGATGAAACCATGTGATATTGCAGTAAGGATTCCCTGGTGAAATATCAAACGAAACCCATTAAAATAGATGTTCAAAACATAATTTTCAACAAAAATAGATAAAAACTTTGCTTCGCACTTTGCCTCCATATGCCCTCACTTGCTTTAAATTTTTTTAAAAATATTTTCTTGATTGTTTTCTCCCTCTGGATTAACCATTCTTTTGGAGTTTAGAAGAAATTTAAATAATAGATGGTTTCATTGACCTAAAACTGATTCCAAAGGCAGTTTCTTGAGTCAATCAATAGGTCAAACACAGAAGATGATCTGACCGCCTGATACGTACAGCGTTTTTACTTAGAATGATAGTGTAAAGGCTCCCCAAACTGGTCATGTTCAAATGAATACATTTGTCTGCTCCACATAAAGAATTGCATGTTGGGAAGATAGGATTGCCCCCAGTACAGTAGTTCTTTTGCACTACTTTGTAGCCAGTTCAAGATCAGCATTAACAAAGGTCTGATTATCATGTTGAACTCTGGCAAGAAATACATAGTAACACTGTCTTGCGCAGAAGAGATCACACTTTGCACCACCTTTCCCTATTTTAAATGGTTCTTATGACTATTGAACAACTGATGATCTTGTTGACAAAATATTTTTCTTCTCCTGCAGTAATGAAGAAGAATTGCGGAAATCCTTGTCTGAGCTGGCAGATGACAGGACAGATCCCAGCTTAAAAGCAATGAAAAGGATTAGCAGTGGCAGCAATCCCTTCCTGGATATCATGCAGGATCCTAATGCTGCCACGTACAAACATGGCTTTCTGGTGCGCAAGGTGCATGCAGATTCCGATGGGAAGAAGAGTGAGTGCTTGATTCATTAACTGTCTTGTTGAGTATTTTCAGGATTGAATGAAAATGAACAATGCACCTTCTGATTATAATGTTAAAGTAGAAAATATGCATGGTGAGAAGCACTGTGGTCTACGTTTCCATTTTTAACCCAACACTTTAGAGCATCCAGAATTGTAAAAATTCTTAAATACGTCCTTAATTTTGAAGCCAATTTTTGGTAAGTTCTGTTAAGAAATTCAGAAAAATGGCTTCAAAGTAAAGACTCAATTCAATAATTAACCAAATTCTGAGTTCTCTAAATTGCTATGTTAATTGAGTAAATCTAGTAATTGTATAGAATAATATAAATTTCAGCACAGAAAGAGGCCATTCAGCCTATTGAGTCTATGTTTGTGCCAGCTATTTCACTTAAGCTAATGACTCAAATCCCAATTCCCCTTGTCCCTTCTTATACCCTTCAATATTAAAATGTTTCAATTATGTATTAAATTGTTTTGTTTTCCTTCAGATTTGAATGTACTTCTAAAGTATTTTTAATTATATGCTTTGGCCAATGACTCTCTGAAGTCAACACTTGATTCAGGTTTTGCACAATTGGTGACTATTTTGGTCACAGTATATCCAAGAATTAAAGGTTGATGTCTTAACAAATCACACATTTGAAGCAGTAATTCAGACCAGTAGCTTGAATCTTGTTTTTTCCGCAGCTCCTCGAGGAAAGAGGGGCTGGAAAACCTTCTATGCCGTGCTGAAGGGAATGATCCTCTATTTACAAAAGGTGTGTTCCCTTAAAGCGCTCCGAGACGCCATCCATCGTGAAGGGTGCTATATAAATGCTTGTTGTTGTTATTGCTTCTCTGTCAGTGTGGTCAAACAGAGTAATTCTTAAGGCAGCAGATTAATGAGATCCTGTTTCTGGGCATCAATTTGTTCTACATACCCAGCTCTAGGTGAAAAGTGAGAAAGATGATCGAGTTTTGCCCACAGAATATACAAAATATACACTTTGCAGTATATTATATGAAGCACGGTAAGATGCCTCGAAGATGGGATAAGGTGCTATGTCCAGATGTGTGCCAATATTATTGTCTCACTATTCACAAGAGGTGTAAGCTTAGTTTGAAGTGTTATTTTTTTTTCTTACTCATTCCTTCATTTCCCATTGGGGATCCCCATGGCCTTTGCAAAACATGTTGCCCTAAAACAAGACCAAGATTGGGAACTCAATGCATATGGATTCATGGATGCAAAGCTAGCTTTGAAAAATGTTAAAATCTTCTGATAAATGATGGATCAGTGCACAGTATTTTACTGAGCAGGCATCTAATTGCTCACTTGCATCATATTTCCTCCCAAACCTTGATCTCTTACACCATTCCAGCCAAGTAGGTGGAACTACAAGCTGGGGTTAAGTAGTTATTGATTCTTTACTTCTCATCCTGTGGTTGTATCTGAACTCCACTGGGAATTTCTCTCTAACAATGCTGCTGAGATGGAAATTCATTTGGTGGAGACTTTAAAGGTACAAACCAATATATTATCGCTCTGCAATCATATAGAATAACAGAAACTTCTGCCTTCTTAACATTTCAGTGTTAAATCTTCAAGAGGTTCATTAATATCCTTGTTTGTTTTGTATCAGGATGAATATAAATCAGACAAACAATTGTCAGATGAAGATTTGAAGAATGCTATTAGTATTCATCATTCACTGGCAGAGCGAGCATCTGACTACAAGAAATCCAATGTCTTCTACTTAAAGACAGCTGACTGGCGAATATTCCTTTTCCAAGCTCCGTGAGTGTTTGTTCCTGGAAGTCTCCAAATTATTAATGACATAGTTTCTCAGAACATCTTTTAGCGGCTAAAGTACGAATAAATTGCATAAATTGTTGGCTTGAAAAATGCTGCATTTAAATCCTGGAATCTGGTCTTGTATTTGCTGTCGCAGTGAAACTAATGAAACATTTTTATAATCTGGCTAAATATAACAAACCTGCAAAAATCCATAAGAAATCACAGCATTACATTGGAGCATACTCGTTAGTATCATGAACTAGTAGGCATTCAGGAGCGCACAATCCAGAGCCTTAAATGTTTTAGGTTACACTGCAACCAGATTTCCATTAAACAGGAAACAAAAATATTTCCTTTGTTTGTCTGTTGCCAAGTTTGGAAAGCATGACTCCTGTTTCACCTAAATTCAGAACTGCCCCAATGTAACCTGTAGTTATAATATGAAATCAGAAACTGGTTTTGGGAATCAAGTACTGGATTTAAGGAGTTGAATGATTAAAATCTAAACAGATGTCTACTCAGCTTAGAATCACTTTTTTTTGACAAATGAAAAGTTGTACATGCACAGTGACTCTTGCAGTGGTGCCTTTTTGACACTTCACCAAGATTCTAAGCATATTTTTCTACATATTCTGATCCTTACATAGGCCCAAGGAAATAAAATCTAGAACAATAGCACCTTCCCTTTTTAAGACCATTGACGATTATTGGGAGACTTTATTGCTGCCACTATTTTGGGGTGGGGGCAGACTGTATTATCTTAGAATTCAATCAATGGGACACTACTTCCTGAGTCAATGCTTTGTTTTATTTTGACAGTGTGTTTGTCATTCAGAAATGCTCCTTTTTACTGTTAGGAGTCCTGAGATGATGCAGTCCTGGATCACGCGGATAAACCTAGTGACGGGCATGTTTTCTGCGCCGCCTTTTCCAGCAGCCATTGGTTCCCAGAAGAAGTTCAGTCGACCTCTTCTTCCAACAACAACAACCAGGCTTTCTCTGGTAGGCAGAAATATTTCTTAATAATTTCTATTTATCAATACATTTATCAACACAACAGTACCAGAAAGGTTAGTTGAGGCTAGGACGGACCCTGAATCCATTTAACAAATATTTAATCCATCATTGGGATGATGGTAGGGAGGGTTTTCTGGAAACATGGGATCAAATAGACTTGATGGGCCTCCTTCTCTTGTGATCTTGAGGTCGTGTTTTCCTATGATCCTATGCAGCATTTGATCTTATTGAATTATTTTTGAATCCTTTTGCAAATATAGCAATTTAGATTCTGCTTTCCCGCTATCCCATGCTTCACACTGTTATCGCTACTGCTCAGCTGTATACTCATATTTGCCATTGGATAATGTCTGTTTTTTTTAACCTGTATTCATTACTCATGTAACATCTACTCAAGTTCCTCTAAAACTATTTGCTGATGTAATAATCACTCGCCCTCTCTATATTAAATGCTGAATATCTGCTGGGCCTAATTGGCTGCCACGATTCGCCCACAAAAACATGCAGTCACTACACTTTACAGCATATCCTGTGACATGCTATGTCTCAACGGCGTGATAAGGCGCTATATCAAATGCAAGTATTATTAATATATGCTCTTTGGAATTTAACAATGCAACAGCATCTTCTGCTGGCCAAAACATTGCACCACAGGGGTGACTATCTTCATCCCTGTGAACCAAAGGGAAGCCTGACTTGTTGTTTTTCTTAAGAGTGCTGTAACTAAGGGCCTACAAAAATGTACCTTATTTTCATGTTTGTATTTTTTCAGGAAGAACAGGTGAAGGCTCACGAAGCCAGATTGAAATCGATGACTGTGGACCTGGCTGAGCATCACTCGTATCCTCCTGACAAGAAGGTGAAGGGCAAAGAGTTGGAGGAATATAGGCAGAAAGAGGACTACTTGGAGTTTGAGGTGAATTGACTAATCGGACACTTTTTGTCAGAAAGAACTTCTGATAATTGGAGTCTCCATTTAAAAGTAACATTCAGCAAGTGCTAATGCACCAGTTCATTTTAGTGCAATATTTATTTAATGCTATGGTACTGGGTAAAGTAATATTTTTTGATAGCATAGCTTGTTCTCCTGCTACAAGTTCTGATGATTTTGCTCAAGCAAGCTAGTTAATGCTGTCACCAATATAACAACAGAATTAGTTTACTTTGCATTCATACTAATAACTAAATGCATTGGCTAGAATCTGTTGGGTCCTGTGTAGACAGTCCAGACATAGTTTTCTGTATAAAGATCTTTCTCTGCTTGTGAACAAAGGTTACACACTGGGGCTGCAGAGACTGTAGTGAGGCTCTGAGATCTGTGCAGGGGTTGCATAATGAGTCTGATGGGATGCCTCTTACATTAGGTATCAATTAATCTTGCTTAATCTGCACACTGGTTAAACTGAGATATTCAACGTGATAAAATCCCAAATGTTGAGGGTTTTACTGCATTTTAAACTGATTTTTGTTCCTCTTCAATAGAAAGTAAGATTCAGTACGTATGTCCTGCTTCTCTGTGCGAAGCTGAAAGCAGGAACAGACGACCTGGACAAGTTTGAATCTACCCTGTTTGACACTGTGGAGAGTGAAGGGAACGGCTTGAAGAAGTCTCGCTCGAGCCCATCTCTGAACCCGGAGCAGCCGATCATCACCATCAGGGTCAAAAGAAACACCTCGGAGCGCAGAAGCTATCGACAGGCCATCAGCACGAAGCACAAGTTATAACAAACTGTTAGTTGAGCTTTGCATCGAGACTCGCTAGCTAGCTTGTGACATTCATTTAAAACTTATGAATTTAGAATAGTGCCAATGGTAGCTGCTCGTGTCAGTTGGAGCTTGTCTGGTTCAAGGCCTGCTCAGTGAATGGCAGGTGAGGTTTTCTCTTGAGAAGGATGTGCATGGTCTGCGTGACAGATACCAAGACCAGGACACTGTGATGGAAGGGAAGCCCTGGTTCAAAAGGTTCAATGATAGGCCTCTGGAATACCATCAGCTGCTGTGGATTTGAAGACTGCTGATGCTTATGCCCAGGTCTAGGAGAAGACTTGTCAAGGCTTCAACCAATTAAAATTTTATTTCTGATCCTTTATCAAAACTTTTTGGAAAGGTTCAGCTATTCTGGTTACAGCTCTTTGAGTGCTAGCGCCTTGAGAAGCTGCTGTATTTCTGTTGGCTCAATGATAGACCCTGTCTCTAACATGCCACTGAGACAGACTCAGATGTTCACTGATAAGCTTTGGTGGGGCGGCTACAATTTTAATGTGGGTGGGACTTGCTATGCCTTTGCAGCGCTTCTTGGATATTGCAGCAGACGTGACAGATTGAGCTTCGACTGCCTGTACTCCCATGTACTAACTACTGACAATCGCACTCACATCAGTGAAGATTCAATAGTCTTGTGGTGGAAAGTAATGATCTATTTATGTGTGCTTTGCTTTTGTTTTCCTCCCTCTTTCTCTTGCTACTAGAACCTGCAATTTTTTTCCCCTAAATGTTAAATTATTATGAATTAAAGGCACAGAGTCAACCTAAGCGCGTCTTTTCTAAAAACAAGATGAAAAAAGAATAGCGACACTATTTAAACAGCAGTTATAGAATGATTTTGATTTACATGAGACTTCTGTTCTGTTTAGTTAGGTTCATGGACTGTATACTAGATGATGCCAGTTCAGTCCTTGTCTTTTTATGTAATAAAGAGGTGCATTTTTAGATAATCTCGGTATAACACAGTGGTACAATTCTGTAGAGAGGGGCCAGTACTACATTGAAATGCCAACCAGTGTAGTGTTGCCAGTTCCCATTGCTTCTGGTAGTCTTTTTGGTAGAGCGGAAAATCTTTTGGATCTCGTGTATCTTCACTAAAATGTATGATGATTTCTAAAACATGTCCCAGCAGTTTAGTTGACTATTGTAATAACTCCTTCAGTTCCTTTGTCATAAATTTGAGGTGATCCCCAAGAATGCAATGGTGCTCATTCCATCACTCTGTTCTGCTACAATGGGCACAGTGTAACATTAACTGGTCCGTTTACAGTTTTATACTGGTACAAAAAAATAAATGTTTATTACTGCTAACAGCCCTACAAAAGCCTTCATAGAAAATCTCACTCTGTGAGATCTGTAGTGTGTTGAAGTTGGCCAGGGTGACATTTATTTGCTCACAGAAGGGCATTAAACTTTGTAATCTTAATGGCAAGATAGGATTACCTGCCTCTTTTTACCAGAATTTTAGGCCCCTTATAAAGGGCATACAAAGTAACAAAATAAAGTGAGCAAATTGAAAACACACTTTAAACCCAGGGCATAAACGGAATACTATCTTTCACAAGTAGGTAGACCTACACTTTTGTTATTTAGTGGTTCACATTACTTCCCCCTCACATTGAATTAATCTTTTATTTCTCTCTAGTTCAGCCACAAAACACAGTCAATTTGCAGAATACGTTGTGAAGCACTTAGAGATATCCTCCTGAAGTGAAAAGTGCGTTATCAAATGTAAAGTTTCTTATTACCATTAACATTTTATCTGTACCCTGGGTTTACGGCAGTTCTTTGTTGGAACAGATCAGATATAGAGGTCAGCCTGGAGAAAATACAATAAATTCAACAAAATAAAAACTCACCACCAGACGATTGATCAATTTTTACTTTAAATGTAACATTTGTTGATTGAGCAATATTTTGAGTTTTACAATAGCAGTCATCTTTAAATAACTATTGACACTTAAGGGTTTCCTCCTTTTTTTTGCTTAAAAACATCAGAAGATCCTATTACCCCTTAGTAATAGGATAATAGTTCGGGGTTGCTGGGGCTGGTTCTCGGAGTTGCTGGGGCTGGTTTGGGGTCGCAGAGGTAAGGTGGGGCGAGGCCATGGAGGGCTATGTAGGTGAGGATGAGTTACAGAACAGCACCGGCTCCTGGAAAACGTTTCCACAGCAACAGGGACCTCGAAAACTCTTCCCACATTGGGAACATTTATACAGTCTCTCTCCTGTGTGTATTCGTTGGTGATGGTCCTTGAACATGTGAAACTGGCTGGGTGGCTAAGCGTCTGGCTGGTGGGGGCTAAGCGTCCAGCTGGGGGGGGGCTAAGCTGATAAGTTAAATATCAACAACAAATTAAATGTCAGCAAACCTTTTCTGATTTATTGGTTGAAAAGTTGAGATCAAATACAGTAAAACATTCGAACAGCTCAAACTTGGACAGTTTGGGGAGAGAACACATTTCTGACAGATTAACCAGAGTCTTATTATTATAATTAGTATAAGATTTCCCAGAAGCCGACGTTAAGAGTTGACATGAGCCAAAATTAGTGAAAAATTAAAACACAAAGCGAGACAGAACCAAATTAAAATACTGAGGTAAAGTGGTTGTTGACAAGATAATAATCAGGAATGAAATGTCAGGTGAGATAAGGGAGGAGTCAGTCAGGTGAGATATGGGAAGGAGATATTGTAATACAAGGAACAATATAATCACAGGAAATGTGAGTAGCAGACAGGTCTATAAAATTGGAAGTAAAATGTCACCATCAGATTGTTCTCCAGCTCAACTGCATATAAAAAGTTGTATAAAGAGAATCCTTGCATTTGCAGCCAGCTTTCCTACACAGACAACAATAGCCTCTTGTGTGATGAGAAGCCAGTGGAGTCAGGCAAGGGTGATAGAGTCACAGAGGCTGGTGGGGGAGAGGACATAGGAGGCAGATGGTCTATATAAACCCATCTGAATTATCTAAACCAGCCAATAGCAAACAACACATGTGCTGATACTGATTGGTTCGAGCTGTGCAGAGAGGACCTTCAACTGGACCTTGTGAGGAATGGGATTCCCTCATTGGCCACATGACAGAACTGAACTTGTGGATATTTAACCCAGAGGTTGAGGTCAGTTATGGTTCAATCATCCAAGGAAGGAGTTGCCCCATTGGCCCACAGGGAGCAGGATGGTTGCTGCAGGCTTGTGGTTCAGAGCAGTGCAATGGTCAGTTTGCTTGTGGTGGGGCTTGGACTTGTCTATCAATGGACTGTATCAGGTAAGTCTGTATTTGTGAGAACCTTCAGGTGGACTGTGAATTGTCTGTAATGTTGATTCTCTTTTGTGATGTGGTGCAGGGAAAGTGTCCAAACCTTGGTTGTCTGTCCTGTGAGCTTCAAAGACATTATCACTGTCCACCTACCCTTGATGTAAATTGTGAACAATTCTTGGCCAGTTTAGCTTCTCCTTTTATTGTGTAACTTGTCTCAAAAAACATTGCTATTTCATTCTTATCTGGTGGTCTGTAGACAACTCCCACCAAAGTCGTGTTTCCTTTACTGTTTGTTAATTCTACCCATAGTGTTTCTGTGGCCTGATCACCTTTACTGAAGTCCTTTCTATCTACCACTGTACTTGAATGTTATCCATATTGCTCTTCCTCCTTTCCCAATTTACCTCCTTTCTAAAGATCTTACAGCCAGGAATATTTAGCTCTCAGTAATGCCCAGGTTGTTGCCAGGTCTCTGTAATGGCTACTACATAAGACTGTTTAAGCTGAATTTGTGTTTCTAATTTGTTTTATTCTTTTGTTATGTGTATTTGTGGACAGACACTTATTAGGCTAACTGTCATCACTTGCCTGTATGCACAAGTGTTTTTTTGTTTATTTTCAAAAATCATTTCTCTTTTTGGAGAAACTCAGTTATTTATCACTTTTTGTTTTCTAACCTTTGCTCTTCTCTGATTCTTTTGTTTCCTGTTGTTTCCACTTGAGTGCGAGGTTGTCCTGGAGTCGGTGCAGGTTTGTGTTACTCTTGAATGCTGGGCTAATGCTTGTTCATATCAGATGATCACTGGATCATCATACATCAATGAACTTCAGAGACCTTGTCCCTCTATTTGATGTAGTTTGTGACCAACTATTGACTAGTGTGGCTTTTCCTTTTATCGTGTAACCCATCTCTAGGATAGCGATGACAGAATAACTGTGTGGAATCTGTTTTGGAGTTGCATCTTAGCGTTAAATAGGGTTAATCTCAGTGTTAATTAACTAACCTGAACCATCATCTAAATTTTGGTTGAAGACGTCCAACTGGGAATCATTTGGAGACGAGGTACAGCTGAAACCCATGGGAGATGTACTGAGCTCAGTTATCACCTGAAGGTGAGACTGTATTAATGCGGACCCAAGCAGTGGAAACTGAAGTTCATGCCCTGTTTCTCACTCTAGCACCTTGAGACTTGTGGAGGATAAGGCAAGTCTGTACTAGTGGTAACCCTGTGATGATGGCAAAGGTGGTATCTCTTTCTCTCTTGCACCTTTCCACACTCCAGAAGTTTAGCAACACCATGTGAACTTCATGCAGGATGTCTGACATCGGAACACATATGAGCCAAACTCTGGTTCACACTGGAGGTTGAGATTAGAAGTCGTTAGTAACAAAGACTAGGGTTTGAGAAGGACAGGATGGGGAGATGTTGCTGGATTAATGTATTGAGTTGATAGTTTGGATTGAGGGTTTAATTCATCAACACAGATTGTAGGAATTGCAGAGACTGAGGTCAGACACTGTAGTTAAATGGTGTAAATCAGATTTGTTTGTAGATTTGATGGTATCTGTTATAATCTTCTAATTAGATAGTGAATTTGCCAGTTTGCTGGTGACTGGTGTTGTGTCGCTGCCGAGAGTCAGTTTCTGTCAGTGTTTGAGGATTGTGTTTCAGGGTCAAGCGGGAGTTTGTCAGGGTTGGTTTGGAGTTGTTCACAAGCCCAGTTTGACCAGTCCGGTTTTCCTTTTATCGTGTAATTCGTCTCACAGATGGTGATGATAGAATAACTGTGGAATTTTTTTTATATTGCAGTTAGTCTTTAAATCAGCTTGATCTAGATTTTGGTATCAAGATGTCCAACTAGGGAATTGTTTTGGAGACGAGGTGAAGCTGGAAACCGATGGAGATGTAAGTGCTTAATGCACTGAGCTCAGTTATCACCTGAAGGTCAGTCTGATAGTGGGGACCAGACAGTGACAACTGAAGCTCACGCCCTATTTTTTTCTCTAGCTCTTTGGGACTTGTGGATGATCAGCTAAGTCTGTATTTGTGGAAACCTTTAGGTGGGCTGCACCTAATTGCACCTAACCTAATTGCACCTCATTTTGATTCTGCTTTGTGAAGGGACAGAGTCCAGACCTTGGGTTTCAGGTGCCCTGAGGGATCGATCGGTGTTAGATTTACTGGTCTTTGTGAGATGATAACATTTATGGTTAAAGTTCTCACTCTCTGTCTACACTGTTATCATTCCAGGTTTTACGAGGCTCCTGTAAGTGTGTTGCTTTGCTGGGATTTCTTCAGCTATTTTGAGGTTGTCCTGGAGCCAATGCAGGTCTGTGACCAACATCATCTCAGTTGTCACCTGAACTAAAAGGAACGAAACGCTGACAACTGAACCTCACGCTGTGTTTCTCTCTAGCTCCTTGGGACTCGTGGAGGATAGCTAAGACTTTACCTGTGGGAACCCTGCAATGACGGCAAAGGTGGTATCTTTCTCTCCTG